AATCCAAAATCCTTCGTAAAATCCTCAATGCTCCTTACTTTGTCACTAATAAAATTATCCATAAAGATCTTAATGTTCCTTATGTTTCAGATCTGGCCCAATCCAGATACCTATCCTTCCATAATAAACTTCAGAATCATCCCAACCCTCTCGTTTCTAACCTTGCTTCCTCTTCAATTCCTGATAACCCTCCGAGGCGTCTGAAAAGAAGATGGCCCCGTGATCTCCTAATATAGTCATATCATTAGAGTGCTACCATTGGGTAGTTACTCAGCAAGTGTATTCATGTCATTATATCAATTATGTCCAAATTTACTTGATGTATTTATGTAATACAGTTGTAAATGTCATAAAGAAATAAAAAAAAAAAAAAAATTTTTAACGTTACATGTTAACAGGCTAGTTTACGTTTCGGGACCTTTATTCCCATCTTCAGAACTGCAATTCCAATACTCTTGTGGATGCAAGGCTAAAAATTTTTTTAAGTTACAATATTGTGCTTGTTACATTACATATTTGTATTATGTTTGTTACAATAAATTTGTAATTACCTTAATTTTAATAATAATAATAATAATTGTAACAAACATAATACAAATATGTAATGTAACAAGCACAATATTGTAACTTAAAAAATGTTTAGCCTTGCATCCACAAGAGTATTGGAATTGTAGTTCTGAAGATGGGAATAAAGGTCCTGTAACGTAAACTAGCCTGTTAACATGTAACGTTAAAAATATACTCGAATTGTTAACAACTGGAAGTTATTATTGCCAAACAACTAAATTAAATTGACAACTTCCCAGGAAAAAAGAAAAAAGTAAAAATATATATTCTTCAAAATGTATGCGTCATCCGATGAATAGATTACCTGTCCCGACTCTGTACTCATCACAGTATTGTTTTAGTAGAATTCTTTTTTTATTCAAAATTTTGTTTTTCGTTCGATGCATACTTTCTTTATGAAGAAATAATCCTATTAGATAATATAATTTTTTGTTTTTCTCTTGGTTTTGCATTTTTTGTTCTTTATCATTTCAAACCGTTTTTAAGAATATAATTTCCTCAGTTTAAAACGACCAGATATTTTGTAAAAATTATATCAATATCATTTACATCATTATAAGATTTAAATTATCCTCTTCCTGTCTTTATTGACTTTCATGGAATCGAGTTAGTCAATTGTCAATGATATTCTTGGAAAGATGTTGTTCCTTCACGAAATACTGTTGTTGTTTCGCCATTTATCATTTATATTATTCGCATAGAGAGTTCAAAATGTTCTCTAAAATAATGTTTGGATACTTCGGTTTAACGTTTTTGTGTGTTCCAATTTTTGCCATTTCCAAAGAAATGACTGATTATGTTACCGACCGATTCTAGCCTAAGTGCGAAGATTTAGTGACTTTTTGCACATAGCTGTCATAGTTAAACAAAACACTCCTTTACTTTTATATCCTCGCAAGTTCATACAATTTGAGTTGTTGGACTTACCTCGCTTAGTTTTATTAACCATCTGATCAATTAGTCCAGTGAAAGAAGTCATTAAGTTCCAGATAGTGAATTTTTGCGTTCTACAGTAACCTTATTTATTGAACAAGAATTTCAATAAGTAACTTGATGACTTTTTGCTCTGTAAAGTCAAAACATTGTGTAATTAGTGAAACTATGTTTTACATATAAAAGGATTCGTATGATTCTAATGAGTTATCGTATTGATAAATATGATCGAAATTAACAACTGCGTACCTTCAGGTTTAAATCAACCAAAAGTGTACTTTTCCCAATAAATCGACGATATATTATATTTGAAAGTATTGTGCTTATTAAAACTTCAGATTGATATTTTATGACACAATATAAGTACCAATGCATTGTATTTCGGTATTTTACATATTTGCGTCCATAAAACAAAAATTTTTCTATGAATTAAAACTTCATAATAGCTGAATTCGAATTCTATGTTATATTAAGTTTATGTTAATAGTAGTCAAATTAGCCATTACTAAATTCTCATGTTATACGTTTGTTTAGAGTTATACTACAAAGTGTATGAAGATATAAATATATTGCAGTTTTATCTTCACTCTTCTGTACAGCTGTGGTTGTGTCTTGAAGAAGTATTAGAACGTGCCTAATAGGTCATCGTTAACATATTTTAAATAGTGCATCACTTCCCCATCTGTCATATATTGTACAGTTTTTCATACGTAAAATAGGTGACGGGAGTAATTTAAACGTTTTAAGGTGGAAAAGGTACGGCGGGAGATATTGGACACATATATGTGTTTTTCCAGTAAAGCTTTTGATCTAAGGTTATTCAAAGGTTTTTGATGTGATAAAATACTATGGTATTATCATTTTTGTGTACGGGTGGAAAGCTGCTCTGGGGCCCTCCCACTTTAATCTGGGAAGAGAACCTACCAATAGAAGGCCGACAGACTAATATAGTGAAAATAATGAAAAAAGAAGATATTTGAAAAAACAAAATTGAAAATTAATTTGTTGTTTAATAGCAGGAATGGCATGCACGTGTGTGATATGCCATCTCTGCAAAATCCCGTGTAGCCGAAAGGCAAGGAAGGGAGGCATAAATAAATAAATATGGTATTATCATGTAGGAACAGAGTTGGAATATTAAGAACAGTTTTAAGGAGCTGATTGGAGCCTATTAAGATTGCCTTCATCTTTTCGGGAGTATATTTAAGTAATAACAATATAATTTTTTTTTTTTTAAATAATAATATGAACAATTATTATACATGTTTTCATGAGAGTATTTTACTTGCAAAATCGACAACCTATTCTTAATGTTTATATATTGTTGACTTGTTTGAACTGACCTGCTTCGATTCTCTATTAATAGAATGTATGTTGGAGTATATTGCAAAATTTCCGACAAAACTGGGATAAGTGGATTTGAACTAAATAGCAAAACCTTTGTTCTTAACTACTCCTATCTATCCATCCGATTTAATGAATTGTTCATAGATTAAGTTGTACGATTTTTATCTTTTATATATTGCTGTATCGTTTGTTTTTTGTAAACTGTATTCACCGAAATAAATCATGCGTTTGGGTAATGAAGTTCTTGTTTGTGTGTGCAATGCAGTATCAATGAAGGGTTGATATGTGTGAGTTATTTAATATTTCGTTTGATTGACTGAGCTCACTTCTACTATTTACGAATTATCTTTGTATTTTAATATATAAAATTTACTAGTACATATTAATTAATTGATAATGGTATAATGCTTCTATTACTTCCGTGGAGAATTAAGCATATTTTAAATCTTTATATATTATTTCTCAAAGATATTTTTTCCTCGGTACGCCGTAATCACATCAACACTTTAATCAGATCCAATGATTGGACATTCGTTTTGAATATTACCTTCTCCTTCAGTGCTGAAATACTAAAATGTCTTCCAGAAATGTCAAAAAGTTGTGAAGAAAAGAACACTTTTGTGTGCATAGTTCGAACGTTATACAATTGAAGGTTTATTATACCCATTATAATATTGAAGAATTTCCGTATTCTCTACAAAAAGAAAACAAAATTGAAATGGAACAGGGATTTCTATACTTAACCATTTGGTATGTTCTGGAGAGAAATAAGTAATTATCTCTGGTGTGTCCACTCAAACTACCTTAACAAACTCATTGGATGAATATTCTACTTCTTTTTCTTTAGTGTATATTCTAACGCGTGTCCACAGCACCGCCGTTGTCCATCAACCTGATATATGACTCATATTAGATAAAAATAGTCACAAATTCGTCTCCCGGTGCCGAGGGAGTCTTTTAAATCTCAGCTCGCATCCCCTGGCTCGGGAAAACCCTGTATAGCCTTAACGGCGAGGAAGGGGAGGGACTAAAAAAAAAAAAATTTAAAAAGAGGCACCCAACTTCTGTCGACTGTCGGGCTCCTGAGACTCGTTGATGTTTAGTTTTAAGGCGTTAGACAATTCTGACCCTGAAAGCACTTGTTTCTGGCGTATGTATTTATTGGCTTTCATTAAAATGTCGAACTCCAACGCCTTGCCACCTGCAGCTGGTCCATTCTTCGAAAGAATCTCTAAGCCACTCTCATAGAATTCTCACGCTTCGGTGGCCCTGGTCCACTCCGTCTTTCTGCACATTTCAGTATTATAATCGAATGTAGACTGGAACAGGGCATCCGGTACATCAGACAGTCGCTGGGCAATGGACCAATGCTGCAAAGGAGCCTCCCATTGACAGTGACCTCGGTGCATATAGCATCGCTGTTGATGTATTAGCAGGAACACCGATAATGGCCTTGATACTCCTGCGGATATTAGTATCTGTTCCTTCCAATATCGCAGGACGTATCTTTGTGAGGGGGGCCGTCTGGAGAGGATAGGTAATACTAAGCTGATTACACGGAACTAATAGTATAATTTTTTTTTTTAAGACCTATTTGAACTTAAGGAGTTAAGCTTTGGGGCTCTACTAAATCATCGAATTTCTCTCGTATCCAATCCTTACAATCCAATATCCTTCGTAAAATCCTCAATGCTCATTACTTGTTCACAAATAAAATAATCCATAAAGATCTTAATGTTCCACATGTTTCCGATTTGGCCCAATCTAGATACCTACTCTTCCATAATAAACTTCATAACCATCCGAACTCTCTCGTTTCTAGTTTTGCTTCTTCAACTTGAGAAGACGGTCTCGTTATCTGCCATTTTAGAAATTTTATTAGAATGCTACTAATTGGTAGTTTCTTTACAAGTTTTTTCATGTCATTGTATTTGAAATATCATTAATAAAATAAAAAATAAAACTTAATTTTGTTAAGTATCGTCAACATACGTAATATATATATTCAAGTATGTTTAAGTTTATGATCAGAAGAATAAAAATCTTGATCTCTTTCAGGGTGACACCTTTTTGTTTTGTTAATTCGTGTATTTTCATATCATCTTTCTGTGCAGAGTTTGTGCAGGCTTTAACTGTTGGGTTGGTTGTTGCAGGTTGAACAACAGGATGCACGTGATGGAGGGGGACATGGAGAAGGCGGGGGAGGGCGCCCCCGACCTGGCCCAGCTCTTGGAGGACCAGTCCCGGGCCGATGCCAAGCAGGCCCTCCCCATCGCCGAGGAGCACCGCAACGGCATCCAGAAGGTATGCTTTTCTTTCAGTTTAATGTTTTACTACGAGTCAGGAAAAGTTATGACCTATGTAATTTTGTTTTAAATGAATCGCATTCAGAAAACAAAAACATGGTGTTTGGCCATAACTAGTTAAGTCGAAAAATAGTCCTCACGAGTTCTGTAAATCTTCCAAGCCTTCTAAACACAGTGAAGAAGTTTGTAACTCACAACCATTGTGGTAAATGAGGTCTAAATAAGAACTGTTATTTTACTAATTTCTTCACGATGTTTAGAAGGCTTGGAAGATGATCTCAATTTACAGAACTCGTGAGAACTATTTTTCGACTTACTAGTTATTGCCAGAAACCATATGTATATAGTTTTGCGTCGTGATAAACAATAATTTTCTTTACCCTCTATGCAAGCAATCTCTTCTAACAGCCCTGATGAAGGCCTGAACTTCAGGTCGAAACGTCGGCAAATGTTAAAATGAATATTATTATTTATTTTTCCATTTTTATTTCTGACTGATCACCCCAACCATCCTTCTCTTCATTATTCACGATAGTCAACCATCAAACCCACAATTAATAATTTTCTTTACTTTTTCAATCCTAATTTTTCTTGTTTATTTTTAATTATTACTTTAAAACTAACCAGAAACTGTTTCTTTGCCGATAAAGATGATCCATGTTGTTAAATGTGAAAACATTTACATTAATATGGGTGATAAATATTCAGGACGCAGTGATTATAAAGTTTTTATTAGTGCCGACGTTTCAACCCAAACATGTACACTTGAATACCTTCAGTGCTCGAAACTCGTCCTGATGATGACCCACATGTTTGGGTTGAAACGTCGGCACTAATAAAAACTTAATACTGCGTCCTGAATATTTAACACTCATGGTATTTAGAACAGTCGATAAACTTCCTTCAATAATTTACATCAATGGTAAAAATATTTACTGATAGTCAGTATTTCTGATAGGTGTGGAAGTGAAGAAATAAAGTTAAAAAAAAAAGTGGCACTTCCGGTTAGCCGATTTTAAGTAAAGAGTTGCCGTCATATCTAAGGCACATACCTATCTTAGATACGAAATATCAGTTTCGTAGGACTTTTCGTTTTTGAGCTAGACTGCTAACATACAGACACACAGACCATTTTTCGGAACTTCGTCATTTCGACTCAGGGTACCTCAAAACGTCTATTTCCGTTGAAAACTCAGATTCAAAAATTTTCTCGATCGCAATACTTACCCTTACTATATATTACATATATACGTAAGTGAAAGTAAAAAAAAAGATTAAAAATATTTGTATGTCTAACGAGTGCATTTTAGCTTTGTCGTATAAGTTAAAAATTGGCAATATAGTAAATCTTAAATTTTGTTAGTACAAGGCTTACGTTTGTTATGTATCTTATATGTATGCTATAAAAATAAAAATATAATGTGGCTTTCAGTATTCCAAATTTCTTATTAGGTTATATAGATTTCTTTTTTTGTCTCAAATTTTATGAATGTAGGATTTGGATTAGGTAAAATCCCACTTGCGATCAATCCTTGCTGTATAATATTTAATGTCGGTGTGTAAATATTGTAAAATATTTTGATTTTAATAATTTCGGCAATATTTATGTTACCCACTTTTTTCCCGGATTGTTTTTGTTTTGTCCAAATCCAAGTTTAGAAAAAGTGGATGTTAAAAAAGTTTGGAAACTTTAGCACGACTTGATTCTCACTAATTATATAACTACTCCAGCTCATCTATTGAATTTAATTAAATGTTCTTATATTCAGTTGTCCATTTTTTATCATTAATACATTTTTATTTTATCGTTTATAAATTGCTTATACTTAGATCTGAGTCAAGTTCTTGAGTGTGTGTGCGGTGATATTGTAGGAACAACATACTTGTGGTATATAATATTTTTTTCGCGCTTATTTGTTTCGATTAACTTCAAACACTTGATAGTCAGAATATGCCATCATTAATGGTTCTTATTAAATTTTCCGACGTTTTGTACCAAGCACTCGGGTCGTTACCAGGTCAGCGATTTGTTGGCAGGACAAGAACCACAACTGGTCTGTTCTTGTCTTGCCAGCAAACCATAACCCTGATAAGATGATGACTACTTATATTGCGAAATCATTCTATATTATTCCAAAGAGGTTTGAATAAGCAAGAAGAATGACGCCATTATCTTGTAGGAGTGTCCTCCTTGCTGGAATCCTGGGGTCAAGTGGCTGTTTCCTGGAACTCGTTGATAATTCCAGCAGGTCGTTGTAGACAGTCAGTCTATTAGTTACAGTCATTTCCAGCTTTCTATTAAAAAAGAAGTTTTAAAGCATATATGAGTAAATTTTGTTTTAATGACTCCAAATAAGTATTTTAATTCAATTATTAATTGCTTATTTAGAAAGATTGGGCGCCGGGATAGCTCAGTGGGTGAGCACTGATTTCCAGAACTCAAGGTCCCAGGTTCGAATCCGGCTGATGACTAATAATTTTTCATCAGCCGTGGATCGAACCTGGTGCCGGGAGACCTTCCTGAGGCGCACACCCAGCCTCTATCTATATAAAGTTGGCCCCCTTAATTGAATAATTAATTAAGAAGTAAAACCTGGCGGTTGAGCGTGATCTCGGTCCGATTACTTCTCTGTACAACCGTTGGCCTTGTACTTCCTCACATTGTACTGAACCTTAGACTCTTCATGGGTTGTTAGTGGTACAGGTTTTTTATTTCGAAAGATTTCCAGGTTGTACTAGCGGATCCAGGATTTAATTTTGGGGGGGATTCAGCCCCAAAGATTTTTTTTCATATACATATAGCGATAATTAATTTAAAAAAAAAAGAAATTAATAACCTATATGAAATAGTGTTTAAGTAGTTCTTGAAATCCTATTAAATATTATTACACGAACAAGAATAATTTAAGAGATAGTTTTTAATATATTTTTATATAAAACATGGTTATGGTTTACCATTTTGAAGGGGAAGGTGTTCAGCCCGAAAGCCCCTCCCCGTAGATCCACCTGTGTCAGGTTGTAACTATATTCTGAAAAAATTGAATGATCTAATACCCGAACAAGAACCTTAATTTTCGTTCGTCTTGTATTGATTTAAATGTTTGTTAGTATAATTATATATATTTTAAATTGATTTTTACTAATTAATATGTAGAAAAAGATATTTGTGTTATAATGATTATGTCTTAGCTATTTGGGCCGCTGTATTATTCTTATAATTTATTTGTAAGTGTCCATTAACCTCTTGTTTGAATGAATTTTAGTTTTTTTATCTTATAAATTTCGTTCCTCAGTATTCACTTCTGGAAATATAATCTTCGGCTGTAAATATCCTACTTCCTAAAAAGCATCTGCTATTATTAAAATTAAATGGTATTGTTATATTTCTGCCAATCAATTATTTTTTTTTTTTTTTTTTTTTTTTTTTTCTTACCCTCCAAAAAGTTTATTGAAACAATTACATATATAGTATACAATAATACAATATAAACATGTAATAAATTCCTTCCACTGCCCGAGGGCAAATTAATATTTAAAAGTTGTTTTAATTACTTTTTTAAATTTTAAGTAGAAACGAGAATGTCATGTTTCATTCTAAAATTTTATTGGTGAAAAATTGGTTAGTTTTAATGTCTAGCCATACTTAAATGATTCATACCCGTGTGAGCTCCAGTGTAACAATAGTCCTTTGTTGATTTTTTTTTAACTTTCTCGGAATTGCTTGATAGCTTATTAAAATGCAACATTTTTTTCTTTATTTTCAATGGAAAAAAATGCACAAATGTAAATAAAAATATACATTGTTTGCAATAGAAACTTTTTCCCCCCTTGCTTTGCTCTATACTTTATTGAACATCAGATGAAATTCTATTATTATATTAAAAAAATTTTTTTTTTGTACTTATTTTGCTTCATGTCTCTGTTATTATTTCAACACGTCTTTACCTATAAGTCTTTCTCCCTTAATCTTTTCACCCGTCTGCTAAAGAAAGTTCCATCTTACCTGTTAAATCAAGTTTCGGATACTATGAAAGATAAACATAGCTTCTGATCTTTCAAAACATTGTTTCTATCATTGATTAGTTTTAGCTTCGATCTTAGTTCTTTTTGATTTTTCAAAATCTATATTCGTGTATCAGTGTACGTGACCAGATAATAGGTAGTAGAAAATAATTAATAGAAAAGTGTTTGAATGCGGAAAATATTTTATTGGACACTTGATGGTTGACTTTTGTATATTATTGAGTAAGATGGGTGACGGTCATAAAAAAACTGAAATAGTGAAAACACTTTTTATTTCAAGCCAGCGTTTATAAATTTTATTCACACTGTCTATAATTAAATTTGTATCTTTTTCGTTTTAGCTCTAAAGAAGACCTGCAAAGTTAGGGTCGAAACGTTGTCTTGAAATAAAAATATTTTTTTCACTATTTCAGTCTTTTTATGACCGCCATCCCGTACCATTTCCTTACTCGAAAAATATGTTAATTGTTATGAATATTATGCTTACATTAATTGCATTAGTATTACCTACTCTACTTTTTTTTTTATTGATTTATTGATTTATTTATTTTTTTGTCTTCTCTTTCTTACCTAAAGGTCTTAAGAGACATAACAAGTCCTATTGTGCCAATATAATATTTTGATTGTCAGTCTAAGATGAAATTAAACTGGATAATAATTAAATATTTCAAGATATATTATTATTGAATGTAACTTATACAGAACTTGAACTTGAAATTCTAATAGTTAAAAAATAATGTAACAGTAGTTTCATAACATTTAAATAGTACTAGTATTTTAATTAATTATTTTACTCGTTTAAAGGTAATTCGATTTATTGAATATGTGTATGTGGATTTATTAGCATTTAGATCAAGAAATTAGAACTTGAAAATTGTATACATCATATTAAGAGCCTAAAAAAACTGTCAAAATCTTCCTTGATTCCATTTGTTTCTTCACTTTCTTCCAGTTGTTTGGTAAAATCTCTGGTGC